GACGACGTCCATGGACGTCATTCCAGAACACGCCCCTTGCGCACCCCCAGCAGCGCGCACCCAGCGCCGACAGTGATCGCTGTGTCCTTCGGACACAGCTGCTCACGGGATACGGTAAATATCCAATCACGGTGGCCTTTTACCACGTGATCAGCTGTATCCAATGACACAGCAGATCACCGGGTAAATACAGTTGCCGGTTATTGGCTGCACTTTTCTCACGCTGTCAAAGTGTGAGAAAAGTACTGCCGATAACCTGCAATTGTCAGAGAGGTGATTGGCACTGATGATCAGTGCCCTAATGATCAGTGTCCTGATGATCAGTGCCCAGCGGTGCTGAGCACCTGTACCCATTACTGCCGCCTCCCTGTACCAATCAGTGCTGCCCACCTGTGCCCTGCAGTGCCACCCACCTGTGCCTAGAAGTGCCACCCACCTGTGCCCATCAGTGCCACCCACCTGTGCCCAGCAGTTCCACCCATCAGTGCTGCCCATCAGGGCCACCCATCAGTGCCAGCAGTGCCACCCACCAGTGCTGCCCATCAGTGCCACCTATCAGTACAGCATCACCAGTGCCAGCTCATCAGTGCTACCTATCAATGCCGCCTATCAGTGCCTCCTATCAGTGCCCCCTCATCAGTGCTGCCTATCAGTGCCGCCTATCAGTGCTGCCTCATCAACGCACATCAGTGAAGGCGAAAAATTACCTGTTTGCAAAATTTTATAATAGAAACAAAGAAAAACTTTTTTCAAATGTTTTGCTCTTTTTTTTGTTTATAGCACAAAAAAATAAAAACACCCAGCGGCAATTAAATACCACCAAAAGAAATCTCTATTTGCGTGAAAAAACAGATACAAATTTAATATGGGAACAGTGTCGCATGACCACGTAATTGTCAAAGTGCGACAGCGCTGAAAGCTGAAAATTGGCCTGGGGATATAAGTGCCTGGTAAGCAAGTGGTTAAAGTAGCGCAGTGCTAAACAGCAAAAAATGGCCTGGTCAGGAAAAATGTAAATCCTTCTGGAGGGCAAGTGGTTAATACGACTGTTGGATGCAAGACATAGATAACTATGTACCCCCAGAGAGGGACCGGAGCCAGAATAAGGTGACACTCGATTAGAAGACAGGAGTGAAGCCAGGACACATGCCAAAGGTTGTCAACAGCTGGACAGCAATGTAAGGCAGAGACAGTCAGGATACAAGACAAGGTCGGTTCACAGCCGGGCAGAGAGATACCGAATCAATAAGCAGGATAGTCCAAACACAAGCCAAGGTCACAAGAGGATAGACAGGAATCCAAAGACTGGTCACAGGCAAGTCGGGTCTTACATGGAAGGCAATCGTAGAAGGTCAGGTCACAGGTACATCAGGGACTAGCGGAAGACCACTCAGCAATCTGCTCATGTCACAATCCAGCTTACATAGGCTATTTGGTACCAGTACCAGTTCCGAGCGTGCACATGCACCTACGCATGTACTGCTTAGTGTTCACGCCAAAATGTTTGTGGGTGGGTGCTAATACATGTCTTGCAGTGAGCCATTGCTCTGCATTATGACCATGCATTAGTCTTCTCATTCTAGCACATATAGGACATTTTCTCACAAAGATCACAGCACTCCCACCGATAATGCCTTCTGCTTTTCTCTCCAGGAGGATGGCGCCATCTTTGTTCAAGCATCATACAGCGCACCATCTACTACCAGGGCTCAGAAATGACACCATCATATAAATCCTGATGCCTGTGCAGTTCTTGGCTGCATTTAAAAATGCAAAACACAGATCAGCCCTTGCTGTACCCTCTCGTCTTGTGGTTGACTGCAAAGTTACAAAGTTGCAGTCTGATAACTTGGGCGGGGGGGGGGGGGGGAGGCTTTGACCTACCTGCAGCAAACTGATGACATCTCTCCAGGAGGACAGCACCATCTTTGTTCAAGCATCTTTCAGGTGCACCACCTACTACCTGGGCTCAGAAATGACACCATCATATAAATCCTGGTGCCTGTGCAGTTCTTGACTGCATTTAAAAATGCAAATCACAGATCAGCCCTTGCTGTACCCTCTCGTCTTGTGATTGACTGCAAAGTTACAAAGTTTCAGTCTGATAACTTGGGGGGGGGGGGGAGGCTTTGACCTACCTGCAGCAAACTGATGACATCTCTCCAGGAGGACAGCACCATCTTTGTTCAAGCATCATACAGTCGCACCATCTACTACCAGGGCTCAGAAATGACACCATCATATAAATCCTGGTGCCTGTGCAGTTCTTGGCTGCATTTAAACATGCAAAACACAGATCAGCCCTTGCTGTACCCTCTCGTCTTGTGGCTGACTGCAAAGTTACAAAGTTGCAGTCTGATAACTTGGGCGGGGGGGATGCTTTGACCTGCCTGCAGCAGACTGATGACATCATCTCAGCCTAGGCAAAGTAACTGGACTGCAGCCCAATGACTGATTTTTAATGATAAAAGGCTGAATTTTTGGAAAAGTTATATGGTTACTGTATTTTGCCTGGAATTTATTTCTGCATACTTGTAAAGGTTCATTTTAAGTTATGACATTTATGGAAAAAAATACTAGTGTTACCTCCTTTTACATTTAAGTTTGCTATTATTATTATTGTTGCTATACAACGGAATACATCAAGTCTCATATTGAACAGCCCTGGGACTACAGCAAAGCCTAGATGAAATGTTGAGCAAGTTTCTCCCATGCCCGTGCCATCGCCAGGTCACCAAGCAGACTCCCAGTAGTGCTAACCCTTGATCCAACTGACTGGACACTTATGTTTTAATTGCACTAGAATCACTTTAATGGGAGCTCATCTCCCACAACGTCTGCAGCAGCTTCAGGCCTCCAAAGAGTAATCTCTTTCCATTAACCCTTTTTTTCTCCAAATCCTTGCAATTATACCCGTACTTCAGCCCCTCCTGACTCAGGAATCGTTCCTGCCAAAGCTTATTTCATTTTACAATTTACAATTTTATACGATCGCCGTACCTCCTCGCCTGCAAGAGGGTTTTATATCATATTGATAAAATGAACCTTATGTCATCCACATCATAATTTGCAAGGTCACCAGTGCCAGGTTTTCAGAATAATTACATTTACGAAAATTGGTCTGAACGTACTCAGGCTATTCCTGTGCTCCAATGGGAACGGAGAGAACAGTGGTCGTAGAATGTTATGGTGGAATAATACTCTTGAAGCACTCAATACTGAAGGCTGTCTCCAGCCAAAACTTTTTTTTTAGCTTTGTAAAGATTGAAGAGCCTCTGTCAGGTTTTTATTGCTATCTATGACTCTGTTTGGGAGATTTCCTCTAACTTCCTGTCTTTTTGACAAGTTCCAGACAAAACAGGAAGTGAGGGGAAATTTCTACAACCTATCAAACCTATACCTTGAAACGTTTTGATATTAACGGTCGCCAGTGCATGTATGATTTGCATACAGTATGCTGCTGCCTATGATCCAATTAAAAAATAAAGTGGTTATAAACTTCAAATCCAAAACACAGAGTGTGATTTCTGTCTCCTCTATCTTCTCACTTCTGGCAGATTATCCCAACACCACAGAATCTCTGGATAACCCCCCCCCCCCAAGGATACAGGTGACTGACAGCCTCAGCTGTGCATGTTTCTCTATAGGACTGTGTAGAGGGGGTGTGTTCTATCCCTCCACTCAGGTCTCAGATTACGATTACACTCAGCCCCCTGCTCTTAGCTGTGCAGTGTGTGATGTTAGATCCCCTGCTTGCTGGAGCTAAGAAATAGCCTTTGATCTGTGTGTTTTAGAAGGCTGTGGAGGACAGACGGTTTCTCATAAAAAGGGACAACTTATGTTTGAGGATTTATTTAATCTGTGAATTACCTGGGGCTAGTCACTTCAGTGGTTATATGTACGGGTTTACAACCACTTTAAACACTGCCTTCTAAATCCTTCATAAAAGCTTCACAAAACATGCCAGAAGTTATGCATGTACAATGATCCTTTTGCATAATCCTATTGAATTGCCAAGGGGGTAACATGAACTGCAAACAGCCTGAGGTGCATGATACAATGAATCCACCACTGCTTACAGAATGGGTATATGTCAGCTATGCATTGTCCCAATAATTTTTGGAAAGGGCTAACACAATAGTAAGATTCCACATTTTCTGGGAAAAAAAGCACCAGCCTTATTATTAATATCCTATTACCAACATTAGCAACATGCCAGTATTACGCTGATCAGGTGGGCACCCTGTAGGCAGGTGCAGCTAGCTAGTCTGCCACTGGGTGGCTCTGTTTCAGATTACTGTCTGGTTACAGAAGCTAGTGCCATCTGGTGCTAGGCCCCTTTTATTTAGAGCCCCCTACAGCGATGTCATGGGTAAGTCAGGACCCAGATATAAGCCAGTTTGGGAGGTGCCCTAGTGCAGTTGGGGCATGGGAGCCAACCACCTCACACCAGAACACATGTAACCAGTACATGGAGGCCCTGGACAGGGCTGGACGACGGGGAGATGTAGACCTGCACCCAGGAGAGCTGACTGTAGACTTTCTGATGCTTATGGAGGTGGGGGCTAGGGTGGGTTGCAAAAGGCCTTTTAGGCCAGACCAAGAAGTGAGGCTTTTCCCCTTGAGGGTTCCGGGAGGTGTGCCTATGAAAGAGGGGACTACAGAGATCTCAATCCAGTGAGTACTAATGACCCCCAGAGAAGGGAGAGAGGTAAGACAGCTTTTTAAAGAGCTGCATATGCTTTCACATGTGACTTCTGCGGACTGTCCACTAAATGTGATTGGCAATATACTGTCAAGTGAACCTGGAATGTGTGGCGATGTGATGTAACTGTTTTGTGCCACTTTCCAAGTACCACCAGTAAAGTAAAGCAACCTCATTTATGTGTAGAGATTCCTTCCTTTAGGGATATACACTATATTGCCAAAACTATTGGGACACCCCTCAAAATCATTGGATTCAGGTGTTCCAATCACCTCCATGGCCACAGGTGTATAAAATCAAGCACCTAGGCATACAGACTGCTTCTACAAACATTTGTGAAAGAATGGGTCGCTCTCTGGAGCTCAGTGAATTCAAGCGTGGTACCATGATAGGTTGCCACCTGTGCAATAAGTCCATCAGTGAAATTTTCTTGCTACTAAATATTCCACGGTCAACTGTTAGTGGTATTATAACAAAGTGGAAGAAACTGGGAACAAGAGCAACACAGCCATAAAATGGTAGGCCACATAAAATGACAGAGCGGGGTCAGCGCAGAAATCGCCAACTGTCTGCAGAGTCAATAGCTAAATACCTCCAAACTTCATGTGGCCTTCAGATTAGCACAACAACAGTGCATAAAGAGCTTCATGTAATTGGTTTCCATGGCCGAGCAGCTGCACCCAAGCCTTATATCACCAAGTGCAATGCAAAGAGTCAGATGCAGTGGTGTAAAGCACGTCGCCACTGAACTCGAGAGCATTGGAGATATGTTCTCTGTAGTGACGAATCACACTTCCCTGTTTGGCAATCCAATGGATGTGTCTGGGTTTGGAGGTTGCCAAAAGAACAGTATTTGCCTGACTGCATTGTGCAAAGTGTAAAGTTTGGTGGAGGGGGGATTATGGTGTGGGGTTGTTTTTCAGGGGGGTGGGCTTGGCCCCTTAGTTCCAGTGAAGGGAATTCTTAAGGTGTCGGCATACCAAGACATTTTGGACAATTTCATGCTCCCAACGTTGTGGGAATAGTTTGAGGATGGCCCCTTCCTGTTCTGTTTGCACAGAAGTTCTGCTATATTTTAGGAGGAATTCACAGCAAAAGGTAGATTTTTTCAGGGTACTGCCTAGGCACAAATAAAAAATCTAAAATAGTAAAAAGCTATGGTGCTATATTAACCACTAACAATGAAAGGAAATGGCTGCACACTCCGCTAGGTTGTGATGATTTACTGAAAAATTTACATGGAACATCAAAACGTTCTAAGCACACAAGTTAAATATACCATCAGGAGGAATGTTGACGAGTTTCACGCTCCTTCACGTTTATTCATAACATGTTATGAATAAACGCAAAGCAATAAGTGTCATCATACCAAGACATTTTGGACAATTTCATGCTCCCAACTTTGAGGGAACAGTTTGGGGATGTCCCCTTCCTGTTCCAACATGACTGCGCACAAGTGCACAAAGCAAGGTCCATAAAGACATGGATGAGCGAGTTTGGGGTGGAGGAACTTGACTGGCCTGTACAGAGTCATGTCCTCAACCCGATAGAACATCTTTGGGATGAATTAGAGCAGAGACTGCGAGCCAGGCCTTCTCATCCGACATCAGTGCCTGACCTCACAAATGCTCTTCGGGAAGAATGGTCAAACATTCCCATAGACACACTCCTTGTGGATGGCCTTCCCAGAAGAGTTGAAGCTGTTATAGCTGCAAAGAGTGGGCCAACTCATAATTGAACCCTAGGGACTAAGACTGCGATGCCATTAAAGTTCATGTGCGTGCAAAGGCAGGCGTCCCAATACTTTTGTCAATATAGTGTATATGTCACTGGCTAGGAATGTTGTATGGAGTCCTCTGGCATGGAGTGGGGCACAATATGGTGGAGGGTATAGTCTCAGCAGGAAGGTTAGTGCTCTAGAAAGGACAGAAGCAGGGCAGGGACTTGTGCTTTGGCACCAACATCCAGCTAATCACAGAGCCCACTATGGAGAGGTCTTAAAAAACAGGGGCATCTTTTGGCACTCTTCATAGTATTGGCAGTAAATCATAGGAGGGTTCAAAGTTTAAATGTCATTTGAAACTAGACTCCACAGCTGACGTGCCCTATACATAAACTGTCTTATCTGCCAAATGATTTGTAAGGTTCGTGCACACGAGGTCTTTGCTCTGTGTGCGTCATATCCCAACATTTTTGGGTGCCCAGTAAGCACAGGTGTAGCTTCTAGTCCTGCTGCCACAAGTCAGTCAAAATCGATAACAGGCTGAAATATGCGGTGGCTGGCTGAAGTGTGGTACTCACGTTTAGGGTAGCATGCCTTCATGGATACATGCCCAGAATGCAGAGTTCCTTTTTTCCAGGAATACATCCCTGAATGCACACAACTACAGGGTACAATATCCAGCAGTAGCATATTTGACAGTCTGCTGGCAGTGGAACTAGACCCTGCAACTTTGCCTCCCGGGCACTCAAAAATGTTAGTATTTGGAGCACACAGCCAAGGCGCATGATGCCTAATATTGTCCAGCCACTTTTCTGATTGCGACAGCACTGCAGCAAAGAACAGCCAGGTTGGTGGCACCACTTTCTCCAACAGAGCTAAGGGATACAGTAGTGTCACCTCCTCCACCCCCTGATAATCAGACAATAATGGGGCAGAACTGCCCTGTTTCTTTTTCACGCACATGTATTTGAGCCTCAGCTATTGAGCTCTGTAGATAACAAGCATTTTTCAGCAAAAAAATCCACCTACTTGCCTAAAATGAGAATACAATATATTTATATGCAATATTTTATATTTACATATTAAAAGAAATAACAAATATAATTTATAGTCCCGAGCATAGGAAAAAAAAGAAGAATATATTGAAAAAACATTCTACGTTCCCTTTAAATGCTGGGCTGGAGTTCTCCTTTATCCCTCGCTGACAATTTTTGGATTGACTTTTTTCTAGAGAGTTGTGTTATTTATATTGCTAATAAAACTGCAATTACTTCAAATGTATATCATAGTCTTTTCTTTAGGTTTCCTATTTATTGCCCATATTAAACTGTAAGAGGCGACATGATGAATTGTGGCGATTGCATTATTTCATCAAGTATACATTCCTTTCACATCATGACAATTTACACATAAAACCATCAAAAATAAAAGATCTGGAAAAACAGTATTTTGCCATTTTTTTTCCAAGGCGCGTAATTGATGAATGCGAAAAGCAATTGATTACCCTACTGGTTACATTGACGGAGCACTTGAAATATTACACTAATTGTTCAGCGTTTTCAATGATGGTAAATTAAAATAGATCTTGTGTTAGAGGGACTCTAAAGCTATTAAAGACTCTGCTGTAATTAAAGGACAACTCCAGGAAAAAGATTTGTTCACAACAAAGCTGTAGCCTTCTGGTCCCCCATTCCTCCGGGAGTGCCGAGGTGTCTTTAGGCATGTGTCCAGGAGCATCAACTCAACTCTAGCCCAGGAGTATCAAACTCAATTTCTTTGTGGGCCGCATCAACATTATGGTTGCCCTCAAAGGGCTTATTGTATCTGTAAGACTAGATGTCCAGAGCACCCCACACACCCCTTACATCAGCTGTCAAGATCCCTCAACCATCAGAAGTCAAGAGTCCCCCACCCTCCCTTACATCACAATGCATCCCCTTTACCTTGTGCTGCTGCTGGGAGAAAGTTGAGGGTGGAGCTGGGAAGCAGAAAGTGCAGGGTCTGGAGAAGGACCAAAAGGAGGGCTGGAGTCAGCTACTGGAGTCTGCTGAATACTGAGCACAAGAGAGGTGGAGATGAAGGGGTGTTATGGCTGAACAGAGAGGCACAGGATCTGTAAGAGGGAATTTCATCTCCTCCCTGCTGCCGACTGTGGAGACACGGTGGAGGCAGAGATGAGGAGGGCGCCGCAGCTGCAAGAGCCACATGAATGATTTGCCCCAGGGGTGTTATGTTTGACACATGTGATCTAGCCCTCTTCTCCCTAGCCTTACTTGCCCACCCCTTTCATTCATTGGATTTCAGTTCTTTTTAACCTCTTGCGAACCGCCTAACATAGATGTGCGGTGGCAAAGGGAACTCTGGATCACATTACAGCACAAGCCAATCAGTGGTTCTCAGCCAATGATTGACTGCCGGGACCTGTTCATCAGCTCAGTGTTCCGCAGATCAGAGCTCTGTGATTGTAAATACAAAGCTGTGTTCACTGACAGGGGATCTTGCTGTTTTTTATTCCCTGATAAGCAGGGGAAAAAAACAAGATCCTTAGAAAAAGCAGCACACATTACACATAGTTAGGCACACATTTAACCTCTTGATTTCCCCTAGATGTTAACCCCTTCCAAGCCAGTGTCATTAGTAGAGTGACAGTGTATCACTGATAACTGTATTAGTGTCACTATTGATGTCAGTGACAGTCAGTTAGTGTACCCCCCAGCCAGCTTCAGCTAGTGTCAGATTGCCTGCTCTAAGTCGCTGATCGCCGCCATAACTAGTTAAAAAAAATATAAATTCCAGTATATATATCATCAGTTTGTAGACGCTATAACTTCCTCACAAACCAAACAATATACACTTATTGGGATCCTTTTTTACCAAAGACATGTAGCAAAATACATTTTGGCCTAAATTTAAGAAGAAATTAAGATTAGAAAAAAAAACATTTATTGGATATATTTTATAGCAGAAAGTAAAAAATATTGTATTTTTTTTCCAAAATGTTTGGTCTTTTTTTGTTTATATAATAAAAAATAAAAACCCAGATGTGATCAAATACCACCAAAAAAAAATTCTATTTACGTGAAAAAAATGCTATAAATTTAATTTGGGTGCAGTACTGCCTGGCTGCTCAATTGCCAGTTAAAATAGTGCAATGTCGTATTAATATAATGGCCAAATCATGAAGGGGGTAAAACCTTCTGGAGGGCAAGTGGTTAATCATGGAGGCTCAGATGTTATCATGCAGATGTCACCTAGGCAGGGGCGGACTGACCATTCAAACACTTGGGCACTGCCCGAAGGCTCAGGGTCAGCAGGGGGCCCCATGAGATGCCCCTGGTACCTTTCATTGGCTTTTTTCATAGGCTTTTTTGGGTGTTGGTGAGGACACAGGGGCCCCATGATCCCCTATTGAACGGGGGCCCCATGAGTTGTCAGTCCGCCCCTGCACCTAGGTCATCCAGTCCCTGTCACTGCAGTGTGAAACAGTCCCGGGTAAGAAAGCTAATCCAGCTTCCTACTACAGGTGCCTCTTTCCCCTCACTGGCTCAAGGGGTGTAGGTCTACTCATTCAGTCCCCTGTGAGCTGATGGGTTGGTGGCTGCTCTCAGGCCTTCTGTTGCGCCGCTCCTTCCCTGCTGCACAGATGGTCCTCACTCTGGGGGCCGATGAGGTCCTGAGGTTTCCTCCTTTCCAGCTCCTCTGTCTGTAGGTGAGCCCCTTCCCATCTGGGCTCCCTCCCAGGCTCCTGCTCTCCAGTGCACAAAATGGCCACTTCCCCAGTCTATAACTGGCCTTCACAGCAAGGAGCACATGGAAGGGCGA